CCACCCCACCTCACCCCGGTGGGGGCGCGCCGGGCTCTCCGCGCGCTGCCTCGCGCCAATCAGCAGATGGCCGCGACCGCCGCCGATGACCCCTGGGACGCGGCCGCTTTACAGAGACGCCACCGCGCGCGCGCTCTGTCCACAAGGGGCGCGTCTCCAGACCGCAGTCCTCGCCGCCGCCGCCTTTGACCTGCGTCACGTCCGTTTGTCCTCAGTTCGCTTCGTGCTCTGCGGGCAGATCTCCCGATCTTTCATGGAACTTCGGTTACATTCACGTGTTCCTCGTAATAACCGGATGGGATGGATCTGAGGCAGCATTGCTGCGTATGCAGCTTAGTTGATTGATTGATGATTCCAGATGGGTCAACAACTAAGATCGTTGCTCCGTAAGTGCAGTGCGTGTTTTAATCGCGGGATGTGGCGGATATTTTCCCCTCACTCTGGCGCCGATTTACATCGGCTTGCGGGAAATATTCCCCAATCAAGTATCTCCCACCAGTGCAGCACAGCACAGCAAGGACAAACCCTTCTCTCCCGACTGGCCTTCTTGTGTGCACATTGGCACAAACAACTGCATTTTTGAGCACCAAAAAACATCTATTTGATGAGTCATCCGCCGTATAGTCCTGACTTGGCACCGAAGGACTTCTTTTTATATCCCATACATAAAAAACAAACTGAGAGGTCAACGTTTTTCGACATCCGAAGAAGCGGTTGCTGCATTCAGAATCCATGTTTTGGAGATAACTCAATCAGAGTGGCAAAAGTGCTTCGAAAATTGGTTCAAATGCATGCAAAAGTGTAGAGATCTTCATGGGGAATATTTTGAAAAACAATAAAGTGATTTTCGATTATTAATATTTGTTTTGTTCTCTAATCCTGAAATATAAAAGACAACCCTTGTACTAAGCGAATGCCGTGCAACGCGGTATGAAAGGGACTAAGGACAACGCGCGATAGTTCCTTTCTCAATCTTTCCCGCTCCTCTCCCTTTACATAAACATACATTTACACTTACGTAGACTACAGTATCACACATGTGGAGAAGTCGTTTCAGAATAGAGAATAGGGAGTGTCTGCGACCTCGAAAGTAAAGAACTATCTATGCATGCGCAGAAGATCGATCCAGAGAGAGAGAGAGGAACACCTCTCTATCCCGGCTATCTACCTACACTTCACCTGCACTTATGGAATTAATGACATCAGTTCACGTTCCCAGAAACAACACTCACTCATTTTAAACAATTGACATATGGTTTAATTGCGGACATAATTTTCTACTTTGACCTTCGCTCCGACTGGTTTACCTCCGATCATTTTCTATTCTCTGCAAGTTGTTGACAAGTGGCATTAATTCTACAAATGCATGAGTTTATAATTCGTAGTTTTAACCTTCTTTCGGGCTTGTGGATTGCTGTTGGTCAGCGAGCTCGTTTTCCACTACGCGGGCCCGGGTTCGATTACCAACCAAGGCTATACTGTGCGTTTTGCTTGGAATCTTCCAGTATATGTTGCTGTGTGACGATGAGAAAATTCACTTCTCAGGTTGAAATGATCGGAAAAAGGCATGCTAATCACACGTACGTACATGCTAACCACATGTATCCCCTTAACCCATGACCGCGGGGCTGGGATGTCGCCGGTAGGCCTGTGACCGTTCACGGACTGTCACCAGTACATACATACATACATACAATCTTCTTTCACCCTGACGACTAGTTTGATAATTCTAAAACATTTTGACAAAACGATTCTAATTCTCCCTGTTGATTCCGTCCTCATTGTCCACCCGGTTATATTCTCCTTTCATATCCTGGTCGCTGTAGAATCCTGTGACAGCTTGGTGCCAGATACCTCCATCTTTCACATTTCTGACATCTTTGTTCTTACAGGATTGTAATATTCTTCTGAACTATTCATGTTTAATATTGAAGTCACAACAGTATTCTCTTTTTTACATTATTTTCGTATGGCTGATCTTTTCCTCTCGTTTCGCCAGTTTACTCTCGTAATGTCTTTGCACTTCCTCATTCCCCAGTCCTCAAATTTTTCCACCATGTTTTATTTATCAGAGAGCCCAACTCGAAACAATGCCCATAAGATTCGTCGATTTTCCTGATCCGCTTCCTCTTTTCTTATTTCACTTCGTGTTATTATATAGGTGTCGTCTTGTTGATATTTTCTGCGAACTCTCTCCTACTTACAGAACTACAGACGCTCTTTCATTTTATAGTTTTCTTTCGTCTTCTCAAAATGAAATAGGTACTGTCGAAGATTTTTGAGCGACGGAAAAACATTAGAAATTAGTGGCCTTAACAGCAAAATTTGCTGAATTATTGAGAAATACAGTTAAAATTATTTTAAAACAATTAATGAAGTATACTAAAAAATAATGAAACCTTCTTTCAAGATAGTTCAAGTCAGTAGGCCCCGTATCACGAACTAACACCACACGGTCATCCGGTAGTAGCGACCCGTACCATTCGGGCCCGTACCATGGCGACCCGTACCATGGCGGGTTCAAACCCGATCGAAGCCGTGGATTTTTAAGAGCGAAAAAATCCTTCGTACGCCTTCCTTCGGAGGGGAAGTAAAGCCGGCTGTCCCATGTTAGTAGATTTACTTGCATGTAAAAGATCCTCAAGTCTAAATGACGCGTCTGAGCTAAATTGAAATGCCCTGTTTCTCGCCCAAGAAATACCTCCTTTCTCTGCTAGTTGGTGAAAGGAGCGTAGCGAAATTTGCGTGGTCAGACGGAAGAGCAGGCCTCATGGCCTGAGTCTCGCCACGTAAAATAAGGCATTAATTCAATTCAATTTAATACCATTGCCTGCATCCTTTCCTTCTCCTGCCTGAATTGTTTGTTGCCTTACCTCTTCCACGCAGCCGTAACTTCTCAGGCCCCTTCCCTTCTCTCAGCTTTGGCTCGCTCCTCCTCGCTTGACCTGGCTCACCCTGCCTTTCCCCAGCGATCGCCCTTTGTGTATACACCGTCAGACGCGCGTCCGTGGTTTCCTCGACCCCTGGTGACCCCGTCCCGCCCACATCGGGTTCTCGTCGGGCGCCCTGCCTTCATTATCCCTTCCAGCGCGCCCCGCTGGGTCATCCCTTGTACCAGACAGTTGTTGTACTGCCCGATGCATCCTTCAGGATTAGCCTCGTAATTCTTGCAGAAGGCAGGAGCGCCGAAAAGGGGCAGGGTAGCTCGGACAATTCACCACAGACTGCGACATAACTGAGGCCCCGAATTGTTCTTTTAATAAAAACACACAAAAATATATTTACTTCCAACTCGAGTAACCTACTATAAGTTATTTTTGTTCAATAACCTATATTAAGGAGGAGGAATTTTATTTCAACCAAAGAGCCCCCGTTGATCTACCATTCTAGGTCCCTTGATTTCTCTGGGCGCTTCCGTCAGTACGAGCTAATCGCGAAAGTACTGATTGTCTCTTACACCGATTTTCAAAAGTAGTATTTTATCAGTTTAATGTTACAAACTTTTAAAATCAGGCGTAAAATTCGTAAATTATATTTCGCGAAGTAACGTTCTCGAAATTAGATTAAGTTGATTCCGTTTTATATTTTTCATTCGGCTCACTTATTTCTCACATAGCTCTGAACTTGCATTCTCCAAGTTCTTATATTTTTAATATTGGCATTTTATTAAGATTCCAACTTTGACAATAAAAAATAGCATTCACTTAAAACATTTTATTTAAAGACAGATAACTTAACTTTAAACGTTTTAATTCGCAAAACGTACAAAACTTATCAACAAGATGTGAGAACTGTTGAGTAAATTATTTCATTATTTAGCTGCACATATCAAATATTCTAAAAAATAAAATGTCAGTCAATGATATAAAAAAACATCATTTTTTATAGTAACAGATGTTGTTTGTTTTTATTGTTCTCTTACATTAATGATCAGGTATCACCGGTCCCAATACCATTCTCCTCTCGTCCATCGTTCTCCCTTCATTTAGAATCCAACGCAATCCTGGCACTCTTGCCCAGGAGGCTTCCTCAAATCAACAGAGTTGGACCTTCCGTTGCCTGGTCCCCCGCCCTGCGCCGCCTCGACCCCCTCGCACATCCAAAACACACCCATCACGGGCATCCAGGCGCACTCCGCCAACTCAGCCACGTCCAACCCATCCCATTCAAACTCCCCCAACCCCATCTAACCCACACGGTTCCATTCCATACCACCCAATCCATCACATCCCTGCCACGTCCCTCCTTCTTACATTTTACGGAAATACAGTCTAACAAGTGGCCGACAAATTGTAAATACCTACCTATGCTTCATTGCACAATATGAATAATATGCATCTATTTTTTCACAAGGAAATTATTTATTTATTACGAAGTTTTAAATTTAACAAGACTGAGATCACAGCTGTTTTAAATAATGGTTTTCACTCAGAAATATTTGGAAAACAAAGTAAATGGTGTGAAATGCCATTTTGATAATGCTTAATGCAGAAAATATATTATAGCAACAATTTACAAACAATTACCTGTTTTAATATTTATATTTTGGTACACCATTTCGTGAAAAAATCTGCAATGTTTTGTTGTTCCATATGTGAAATAGAGTTCTCAATTCTATGATTATAGTATATTATTTCATAAAAAAATACATTGTGGTGACGTGATGGCTAAATGATGACACAGCGACGAGCTCTATCTTCCATTTATTTACAATATATTACAAATATGTACAGCTTTGGGTTTCTTTTCTTCATTTTACCTGTGTTATTCCTGCGCACACTGCTCCCCCAAACCCTGGCTAAGGCAGATCCTTCGCCAGTACCCGGACACCCAGGGCAACGCACTCGCAGTGTCTGGAGTGCACGTTCGCCCCCCCCTCGCCCGGACAAGCCCGGACAAGGAGTTGCGAGGCGACCCGAAAGCGAAGTAGTGTCCCCACCTGGGCAACTGCATCTTGAATATTTTTGGCGGTCACGTGATCGCCCACAGCCTCGAGCGGCCGCTCGGCCCACACGTGCATGCCCTTGCGTCGTGGGGGGGGGGCACTCTACGCCCCCGTTGTTTTCTATTTTTTGCTACCCTTGCCTATCCTACGGTCGCCTACGTTCAGATGGCCGTTGGCTCCTTCGAAAGTATGGCTGCCAAATAATGACGTTAAAAAATATATGTAATTTTTGTTGTTCAGTATGTGAAATACAATTCTCAATGCCCGCTTTGATAAGTTGTAGTGTTTCGGTTTCACGGAGCAATAATTTTCCAAAAAATCATATTTTTCCATTTGAGTATCTACCTTTATTCTATCGCAATAATTTAGACTATCATAATGCTGTGCAAATTAATACGTGTGCTTTGATTTCAATTTTCATATTGTTGATCCTCCATGTTACCCCTCTTTTTTTGCGAAATAGCATTTTGCACTCTGAGATGATTACAACATGCCCAGCAGTTAATAAAGTGCATGCATAGCGACCCTGGCCATTAGTAAAATGATTGCAGAATAATTATGACAAATTAATGAGATTGTCACACTTACTCTGTGTAATGAAAATGTCCAACCCGGATTTGTTTTGTACCAGCATGATTCCATCAACAAACTTTGTAATCTACTACATCTATGTAACTTTGAACTAATTAATAAAACTAAATGCTTTCATCGACACACTAAACTGTAGTTGGATGGCGTAAAAAATTGAAGTATATTATCAGTATCTTAATCTATGAGACAATTTATTTATTTTCAAAAAGTGTACTTTTTTCTAAATAATGAGTGAATAATATTTTTAATATAAAATTACATAACTATTAAAATAATTAAACTATTTGTAAATAAATAAATCATTTGTCTCAAAGATTAAGATTCTGAAAATATAATGGAAATTATAAACAATCATAGTATAAGTAAACAAACAATATAAAAATTTGAACAACAAAAATTTAGAAGTTTACTGGAGTTAAGGCCTGTGTCATTATTATACTATTATATGTACTTTGGTATATTAAAAAAAATAAAGAAAATATTTGAAACAAGTTTGATAAAATCTCAAGGACTACACGTTATGTGCCCGCAAACATTACAAGTTGTTACCAATGGGGATGGGGGTATGAGGTAGGATGGGGTAGGAAGGGGTAGGATGGATTAGGATGGGGTAGGATGGAGTAGGATGGGGTAGGATGGGTTAGGATGGGGTGGGATGGGCTGGGATGGGATGGAATGGGGCAGGGAAGCGATGAGTGGGAATCGGGGAAACGGGAACGGAAGGTGAGCTCCACACCATTCTCAGAACACCTTGTATCAAATGTGATCTATGGAAGTATTT